ACTTTTTCTCCTGTCACCAGAGATTTTAAGTTCAGTGGCCATGTGGTGGCCGTGGGTGAGATGGCCACCAATGGGCGCTGGGCTGACAAGACCCTCTGTGGTAACGAGCAAGAGATCGCGGAGGGCACCTGTCCGAGTTGGCTCCCAAAATCTCCAGTCTCTCCTGAAGGGCCACCAGGATACCCCAGGCACAGCTGTGGGCAGGGACAAGGTGGATTTTCCCCCTGATCTGGGGTGGTGGGTCCTGACTGTGCAGGGAAGCAGCTCCTGGGAAGAGGCGTGAGTGGGGCGAGGAGGGGCTGCGCTGGCAGCTGGAGCAGGAGCACAGCTCAGAGCCCGTGTGGCCGTGCCTGGCGTGGGGGGATGTGTCTGGGGAGTGTGGGGTGCCCTGGGGGGAGCGTGTGAGCACTGCCTCCGGGTGCTGGGAGCAGCAGGCTGGGCCAGACAGCGAGCAGGGCAGCCGTGGGACTGGGCAGAGGGTGCAGGATGCAGGCAGGGGTGTTGGATGGGCAGAGGGGCTGTGCCAGTGCTCGAGGGAGCCAGGAGTGCTCCTCGCTGTCTGCTCTTGTGTCGTGAGGGGTTCTGCTGGGAGGATGTGGGCAATGGTGAAGGCAGCAGCTTTTTCACGGCAGGTTGTGTGGCTGAGTGTGTCTGTATGTGTGTGTGTCTGAGTGTACATCTGTGTTTATGTCTCTCTGTCTGTGTCTATATGTCTCTGTCTGTGTGATTCATGTATCAGTGTGTGTGTCTCTCTGTGTTTGTGTCTCTGTCTGTCTGTCTGCCTTGTGTCTGGGATAAAGACTGAGCTTCAGGGTTGATCCTGCACACAGGAAAGCCACAGGCACATCCAGTGTGCTGGGAAGGGGACCCTGGCTCTTCTGCCATCCCAGGCCTGGCTCCAGCAGCCGGGTGGGAGCAATCCCCAGGGCCACAGCTGCTGCAGAGCCTCTGCCAGAGGCTGGGGCCTCTGCCTGCACCTTAGGGAAAGTCTCTTTTCTTCCTCCACAGCCATGGCTTCGCAGGAGGTCACACAGGAGGGGGATACAAAGGCACAGCTCCTGGCAAAGGCGTTCCAGGATGAAGGGCTGGATGCTGGATACTGGCTGCCCAAAGCGTCGCAGATCCTGGGAATTGAGTGCAGAGAAGCCCTGCAACATCTGGAGTACGAAGACTACCTCAAGCTGGAGTGTGAGGTAAGGCACCCCTGGGAGAAAAAGGCACTCCAGAAACTCCTGAAAATAAGAGACGACAAAGCAACCAGTAAAGATGTGCAGAAGGAGCACTTGGAGAAGAGAAAGGAGAAACAAGAATTGGCCAAAGAAGCCCTGAATGATCTGACAGAAATGCTCAACAGTCGCACCCACAGCCAGGATGCTCTGAGGGAGAAAGCAGAGACTGTGTGGCAAGCCATGGAGATTCCCAAAGAGTTCTGGCCAGCACCAAAGGAACCCTTGGCGGATATGCTGGAGAGCATCCAGAAGCAGCTGGAGCAGCAGGAGCTGCCAGCAGGCAGGAGAGAGAACATCCCTGACGCGGAGGTGCTGAGGCGGGCGTCAGGGGGACTGGCCCTGCAGGGCATCTACAGAACCAGCAGACCTGGAGATGCGCTGGCAAAGCGAGATCAGCTCCTCAGGGTTCCTGAGGGATTCCAGTTCGCCGGTCCAGAGCAAGGATCGGTGCTTGAGAGGAAGGACTTCTCCTCCTCTGCAGCAGAATCCTCTTTCACCAAGTCCATGGAGCAGCTGGGGTTCAGCATGAGTGTTTCTGCCAAATGCAAGTTCTGGGGAATTAATCTGGGAGTGGGTGTAGATGGCAGCAGCTCCTCGCGGTCACAGGACACCCACCAGTCCCGCTCTGAGCAGAGCTACTTTTGCAGCACCAGGTACCAGTACCTCCCTCTGGCCTCCTGCTACTTCCAAAGGCATCAGCTTTGCCTCTCGGATGTGGCTCTGCGGGAGCTGCAAGACATGGAGCCACTTTTGAGCTCCACTCAGGAAGAAGACAACCCCACCTTGCTGAATAGCATGTGTGAGAGGTTCTTCAGCAGGTTTGGGTCCCACGTAAACCAGGGTCCCCTCCACTTTGGGGGGATATTCTGGTGGAAGGCGTCTACTGAGGGATTCCGAGAGGAGCAGAGGGAAGAGATGAAGCGACAAACGTCTGAAGCTCTGAACAGCTTTGTCAGGGCCAGCTGGGGTGGCTTCCTGGCAAGTGCTGCGGGGGCCCTGGATGTTTCTAAATCCAGCTCAAAGGCTTCTGTCCTGGGAAGAGCCGGAGAGGGTTCCCATACAGCGATTCAGCTCTACGTGGTCAACACAGGGGGCCCACCAGACACCGCTTCTCTTCCTCAGTGGAGAACGGGGCTCGTGTCTGATAACACAACGTGGTGCGTTATTGACCGTGGGTTTGAGCTGATCCCAGTGTGGGATGTCATCCTGTACAATCACAGCAGGGATTTTAAGTCCGTGGGTCAGATGAGCAGAGCCCTCCGGGCTGCGTACAAAGCACTGACAAATCTGAGTGTCGGCAGCATTTTTGGAGAGGAACTGGGCAGTGCAGTGCAAGAGGCCAGAGATTTCATGAGGACTCTGAAAGCCTGGGAGGTGCCGGCGGATGAAAGGAAGCTGCTCATGCTGATGGAGCTAAAAGATGATCTGAATGCAAAAACCAGGAACCCCAGTGTGTGGATCAACGTGTGCCTGTCAGACAAAGCCCTGCAGGACTTCCTGGTGAACACCGTGCAGAGTTGCCAGGAGTCACCTCCAGAAAACACCAGATTTATCAAGGTAATATTGAAAAGCCTCCTGACTCCACATATCTACTCTGTCAAGGACTTCCCTGAGGCTTCCTTCATTATGCAATGGATCTTCCAGACTGAGCACCCACTTCCCAAATCTCCCAAAGTCTCTGAGCTTGAAGACCTCATCAAAACACTGCAGCAAATGAAGGAGCACATCCATGCTGTCTCCTACGCACCAGGAAGCTCTGCTTCCGCCATTCATGAAGCAAAGCGAGAAGCGACCCAGACCAGCAGCCTCGCCATTTATTCCTTACTCCAGTGTCTCCAGGAAAAGGCTCAGAAGGACGTGGAACTGTTGGTGCTCTTGATTGTGAGCAGCACAGGGTACCAGGTGGAAAGCAGCACTTTTCAGCACCTCCTTGGACACCCAGAAATTGAGTACATGGCCAAGGAAATGGAAGTGGCACATGAGGAGTACGTGAACCTGAAGGAGCAAGATGCCGACAGAGCTGAGGCCTCTCTTCTGCTGAAGGGTCTGACTGTGACACCAGAAAGTCAAGGGCTGTCCCCTGGGCAGAAGAGGGAGCGTTTAATTTTCATGGAAGATCACATGAAAGGCTTGTGGTCCACACGGATAAAGAATCTGCTCCAAAAGCACAGTGGAGGTGAAGACTGGGAGAGGCTGGAAGAGGACTTGCATTCCTTGATCAGTGGGTGCTTGGATGGCAACGGGGATGAAGAGAGGATGCAGAACATAATCAGAGACCTGAAAGGCACTTTTCCAACATCTGAACTCCCTAGGCAGTCTCAATCCATCTCCAACAGCAGCCAATCCGAAGCAAATGAAGCCATCACAAACCAGGAGTTCCTCCAGCTGCTCAAGCGCCTGGGACTGGAAAGTCACTATCCAAGAATAATGGGGATGGGAGATTTCCACACCATCTGCAGGACATGTCTGCAGGACAGCCAGCCCAGCCAGGACACGGAACTGCCAGGTTACTTCCTGCAAAAGCTGTTAACCGTGGATTACCAGGTGAGGTACCTGACTTGCTGGGATGAGAGCATCCCAGGCCTTGCACCTGTGCCAGTATCTACAAAGGAAGAGGATGAACTGTCAGACTGCTTTGATAACTTTCTTGATGATTTGGAGGAAGCAGCCCCTGAATGTGTGAGCAGGGACAGCTATGTGCACCCCATGGACCTGCAGATGGCCATTTTCCACTGCGCTGATGACTTCCTGAGACAGACCCTTGCAACCAAGCTGGCCTTCTGCCAACTGGCGCTGCCTCTGCTGGTGCCCAACCCGTGCACTTCACGCATCGAGTTCCCGCTCTATGCCCTCAGCCAAATCCAAAGGAGCTGGAAAGAGGTTGAGAAGTCAGGAAAGCAGGCCCAAACAAAGAGTTACAACAACAAACTCATCTTTCAGACACAGACACCTATCGTGTCCTTCATCCGCATTGGCAGCTCGGCCTCCTCTTCCAAGTCTCAGCTCCTGAACGCTCTGCTGAGCGAACGCAAACACAACACTTTCTTCCACCGCCACTGCAGAGGCAGCACCAGGGAGCGTTTGCTGATGGAAGGGGTGGTGGAGATTGCCTGGTACTGCCCCCGTGGAAGCCCCGATGACACCTTTGAGCGCTGCGTGGCTTTCTGCAACCTGCATGGAGATGCCAGGGATCACAAAGCACAGCTGCAGTTCCTGCAGGAGATATCTGCTGTCAACGTGGCTCTGGTGTCCGATTCGGAGCACATGGACAGCAGGGGGAAAAAGCTTCTGCAGGACCTGTGGCAGTCACAAAGGCCTTTGGTTTGTCTTCTCACGGAAAAAGAGAACGTTGCACCTGGGCGATCAAGTACAAAAATAAAAATTGGGATCAGGAACAGAAACGAAGCAGAACTGGTGATCCAGCTGAGCAAAACAATTGGGAATCTCCTGGAAGGGTCTAATCCATGTTTCAGCCTGGACACCTGTGCAGACAAAGCTCGCCAGCACGGATTCATAGTGGATGCAGATCAACCCGGGTGTGTGGCAGCCAAAGCAAAGGCAAAGGAGCTGGTGGAGCTTCTGAAGAAAGAGAAGCTGTCTGAGATCAAATCCCAGCTGCTGCCGCTTCAAGGAAAACTGTGGTACCAGTGGTGCAAAAAGGACAAAGAACTCACTCGCTTGCAGGAGAAGGGGAACAAGAGCATTGAGCATCATCGCAGCCAAATTGAAAATGAGAAGAAAGCACTAAGAAGAAAGCAACTTGAGCAAGCTTTCCCCCTCAACCCACTGATGGAATCATTCCTTGGCTTCCTCAAGGGCCAGCCAGCAGATACCAAGAAGTATTTCCTGCAGTGGATGAAGGTCTCCATGGATGAGCTGTCCTGTGGTCGCCTTGAAAAACTGAGAAGAGACTATCATGAGTTATGGACTGAAATCTCGACAGGAAAGAAAAACCAGTTGCTGAATCAGCTGGATTCCATCTCTGATGAAATCAACAATTCATCCATCGGCCTGGAGCACCTTCTGAGAGAGGTAGGGCAGATTTATGAAGCTCTGCAGTTAATGAACCCCAAGGATGAGCTTTATGCTAAACTGCCAGAAATTGCAGCAGAGCTGATGGTTTTGGGTTATCCCGTGGAGCTGATGGATGGGGACGCTTCTTACCTGCCCTTGCGCTGGGTGGGAGCCATCTTTGACAGCTTAATGGGGAGGCTGGGGGACAAACGAGTGTTTGTGCTCTCCGTGCTGGGCATCCAGAGCACAGGCAAGTCCACCCTGCTGAATGCCATGTTTGGTCTGCAGTTCAGCGTCAGCGCGGGGAGATGCACCCGCGGAGCCTTCATGCAGCTCATCCCAGTGGGCGAGGAGCTGCAGCAAGACTTGGGCTTTGATTTTGTGCTGGTGGTTGACACAGAGGGACTCCGTGCCACCGAGATGGCCAGTAAACAGTCCCTGAACCATGACAATGAGCTGGCCACCTTTGTCATTGGTGTTGGTAACATGACTGTGATCAATGTGTTTGGAGAGAACCCGTCAGAAATGCAAGATGTTCTCCAGATCGCTGTGCAGGCTTTCCTGAGGATGAAGAAAGTCAATCTTTCCCCCAGCTGCCTCTTTGTCCACCAAAATGTGGGAGAAGCAACTGCCAAGGAGCAGAACATGGAAGGACAAAGGCGTTTGCAAGAAAAGCTGGATGAAATGACCGTGATAGCTGCTCAGCAGGAATTCTGTGACATCTCCTCCTTCAGCGATGTCATTGGCTTTGATGTCAACACCCACATTCACTACTTTGCTCACCTGTGGGAAGGAAACCCCCCAATGGCACCACCCAACCCCACCTACAGCCAGAACGTCCAGCAACTAAAGAGCAAAATCCTCCAGGCTGCCAAGAAGCAGTCGCAGCGCAGCATTTTGACGCTCTCGAGCCTGAAAGATCGTATTGGTGACCTCTGGAATGCTTTGCTGAATGAAAACTTTGTTTTCAGCTTCAAGAATTCCCTGGAGATTGCTGTGTACCGGAAACTGGAAAGTGCCTTTAGTCGGTGGACCTGGAAGCTGAGGAGTCACATCTTAGACGTACAGATGAGACTGGACAACCGAATTCGGAATGGGGACTTGCAGAATGTCACCAGAAAACACCTTGAAGGGCTGGTGCAAAAGACAAGTGATGGCATTGAGAAAGAAGTGGAGAAGTATTTCAGGGAAGACAAAGACCATGAGACACTGGTCCAGTGGAAATCAGGCACAGAGCTGAAGCTGAAAGAACTAAAAGAGACTCTTCTCCATGAAACGAAGAAGAAATGTGAGAGTCTTATAGAGCTACAGAAGGAGCAGAGGAAACTGGATGCACGGAAGTTGGAATATGAAGATGAGCTCCTGAGAAGGAGTAGGGAGCTGGCTGTGACTCTGAAAGGGAAGAGCCTGAGTGAGAGAGAACTGAGGGACAACTTTACTCTTGTCTGGAATAAGTGGATTGCCGAAGTCTCCAGTGCTGCTCGTCCTCTGGAACAGGTGAATATCGATGCAGACATCGAAGAAGTCCTTCTGGAGCACTTTAAGGAGCCAGGTTTCCATGCACGGATCAGGTCATTTCCCAAAGGCAGTGGATTTTCTTTCGACTTAGAGAAACATGTAATGAAAAAAAAATATTTTGGTGTCTTCACTAAGAGCATTTCTTATGCTGATGCAATCAACTTGCAGCACATCACAGACAACATCATAGTGTGTGTGAAGGCAAACATTGATAAGAAGGAACAGGAGAAACGGGATTACAGTCGAAATTTTATCCATGAAATACTCAATGAAGTACACAAAGGTGTGAACTCCGTCCCCAGCCATGCCAAATGTACTTTTAACAGAGAGTACAGCATAGCTTTGTCTCTGTATCTGTGCAAAATGGCAGCGGAAAGGTTTAAAGCCATGCATGAAGCATTCCAAAAGGCAAATGACCCAGTTGTGTACCTGAGCAGCAAGAGAGAAGAGTTCTTCCAATGTTTCCAGATGTCCTGCCAAGGAGCCACATCAATCACAACTTTTGCTGTTTTCCTTTGTGAGAAGATTGAAGCGGCTCTTCGCCGGGCGGTCTATGAGAGGACGTCTAAAGCCATCGCTGAGGACATGCAGGGCAAATTCCCAGATTTCAGGGGCAACAGAGCCAATCTGGAAGTTTGCATCCTGAGATACCTGGCAGAACAAGAAAATTTTGAGTATTTCATGCAGTATATTTTTTTCCCAAAAGAATTTTTCCAGAAATACATTGAAACACAAGTTAAGAGTTACTGTTTAGGTAATGGTAAGAGACTGGAGAACTTTTTAGATTGCTTGCTTAATCTTCTCTATGGAAACATCCTGTCTGCTGTTTCTTTATCAACCCAAATTGTCAAAGACAGAAAAGACAGAGAAGACAATGTCTCTCTTTGGCTGGATGAATTTTGCAGGGAACTGACAGAAGTGATCAACTTGCCCAGAAGTGACCTGAAGGGCATCGAGCACCAAGAGGTCACAGACACTGAGTTCCTGAGCAGTGCCATGGCAGAAGCTCTGGATGACCTGAGGGACAGGCTCAGGAAAGAATTTGCTGGTGCTGATATGAGCTTGTTTTCAACACAGCCTCACACCATCCTGGTGGAGCAGTTTTCGGGGTGCTGGGAGCAGTGTCCGTTTTGTGGGGCTGTCTGCACAAACACCATGCAGGGACATGATGGAGAACATCAGCTAGTCTTCCATCGCCCAGAAGCTTTGGTGGGAGACCGATATTTTGAGACAGATGAGCTGGTCATTGATATTTGTTCCAGCCTTGTTGCAAGTGATTCCGTATTCAGAGTTGATGGTAATGAATGGATCCCTTATAAGACATACCGTGATGCTGGACCTCCTTTTTCCAATTGGAACATTCTTCCTGATTCATCCATGCAGGCGTATTGGAAATGGTTTGTTTGTCATTTCAGGGCACAGCTGGAAGATTTGCACAATGGTAAATTTCAGGGCAAAGGAGAAATCCCTGAGGGGTGGCAGAGAATTACCAAGCAGGAAGCATTGTCCGAGCTGGACAGGCGTTAGGCCACATCCATGGGAAGGAAGAACCACAAGGGCTTTGCAGTTTTGGAGTACTTTGTACCAGGCTCTCCACAAATTCAGTTACAATGATGACACTCTCAAGCCCAATGAAGACAAGGGTGTCCAACTGCTCCTGAGTTTTGTGAAATAAGGCACTTTACTGTGGCTGTTGCTCAGGAACTCCCTTGCTTGATGAGAAAGCCAGAATCCTCTTGCCTTCTTGCCATAAACATTTCCCTCTGCTTTGTCCTAGAGCCAAACCAAAGCCTCTCCTTGTGGCGATTGGCCTCATGGCCAAGCCTGAGCCCGAGGGCCAGGGCAAGGGCAGAGGCAGCACTCAGAGCACCCCTTGGCTCAGGTGCTGTGAGACAGAAGAGACAGTGCCCCCAAGGCAGTTTTCCTGCAGCAAGGAGGTGTCCTGCTCGGAGAAAGAGCTGCAGGACCTGAGGCCAGCTCCACGCTGGCTGCAAGCTGGGCTGATTGGCTTTTGGGTGTCATCCTTCCCTCCCTCACTGCAGCCTCCTGGATCAACTGAGGCCATTCTCCCAGCAGGAGCTGTTGTGCCTCTGGGCTCAGGAAAGCAGGGACACGATGGCCCCGGGGCTCAGGCAGTGCTTTCACTCCCAGTCTCGGAGGTGCTGTGTCTCTGTCCAGGGCAGCCGCTCCTGCTCAGGTGCCTGGGGCTGCTGCCCTTCCCTGCAGCCCTCAGGCCTGCAAGGAGATGCTCCTGCCCTTGGCCTCACTGCTGAGGAAAGCCTTGGGAATGCCCCATGTGGAGAATCCTGCCTGCCAGCACCTTCCACAGCAGCCCTCGGGGCAGTGCTGGTGCTGTCCAGGCAGGCTGGTGGCACTGGAGCCGTGCTCTGGAGAAGGTGGCACCAGCTGGCTCTGGCCCAGGCAGGCGTGGGGGCTTTTGCTGTGCAGGTGCTGCAGCCCCGCTGGCAATGCGAGGGCCAAGCCCTGCTGGAGAGCTGGCTGAAGGGCTGCTTCAGCCTCATGCCCTGCAGGCTCTGCTAATAAAGGAGTTGATTTGGACCTCCCTGCTCTGTGTCCCCTTTGTGTTCAGGACAGACACAGCTGGGGGTGACTCGAGACAGGCAGGGGACAGGGGGTGGCACTGGGTGAATTTCCAAGGCCTGAACAACGGGCCCTGCCTGAGGCCTGAACGTTAGGCCCTGAGCCAAAGTTGCCCAGTGGATGAACCTTTCCACCAAAAGCGATGTGTATCCACTCATTAGGGAAGCATTATTAGCCATATGATAAATGTATCTGCTCATTAAAGAAGCATCATTAACAATATGATCTGTGAATGTGCTCATTAGTGGAACATGCATTTATCTCTCCATATTTACAAATGGGACAAGATCCATGAAATCTGACATCTGTCCTTGTTTGGGGGTGTAGGATCAAAGACAACTCCCTTGGTTCCTGCTTTAGCCCAGGCCAGGCTTTGGGAGGAACCCAAGAGGAAAAAGAAACGAGATGTTCCTGCCCTAGAAGTGATGTTAGCTTGGTTATTGAACAATATAAGAACAGGACCCTCTCACAGTGCAGTTGGAAGCCTTGTTGCCTGCAGGTGGACACCCCACAGTAATTCCCAGTTACCGAGAGGGACTCTCCGTTCCTTCACTGTGACAGGGGCTCCCCAGCTGATGTGTGGAGCTGGAGGATGGTAAAGTCTTGGGGTAACTGGAGATGTAATGTGTGTCATCTCACTGTATGCAATCTTTTGTAGTAATGATGATGTGCCTTGCTGAGATTGCCATCCTTTTGTGATTCTTGGCAGTTTTGCATTATAGTAAATGACACCTCTTCCTTAAGTTGGTGCCTGTTTCTTTTGTGCTGACCCTGCTGCCTGGCAAAACACTGGGTGAGGGTCTGGGAGCTGGGGTGTGGCAGAGAGGCTCTGCTCCATTCAGGGGCTCTGATCCATTCAGGGCCTCTGCTCCAGGAGCAGCTTCACTGTCTGCAGGGACAGCAGAGAGGGCAGGAAGCCCCAAACCACAACACCCAGGGAAACCAGTGTCAGTGGCAGGTGCCAAGGGAGGCAGCGCTGGGAAGCAGGGCTGGCCTGTCACACACATGGAGGGCTGAGAAGTTTGATCCCAGTGAGGGTCTGTGCTCTGGAGCTGCTCAGCTGGAAACATGTGGGACAAAAGGGGAAGGGGCCCAAACTCTGCCAAGCCCTGCCCTGGCCAAGCTGACCCAGAGCCAGTGACAGGAGCCAGAGCTGGGCTGTGTGAGTGTGTGCTGAAAGGGCTGAGTGCCAGGGACTGGGGACACCTGGGCTGGGAGGGGATTTGGGTGGCTCCTGGTGCCAGACTGGGAGTGGAGGTGACCCTGGCCATGGTGTCACCTCCTGGGCTGAGTGGGGAATGTCCTGGTGCAGCTCCTGGAGTGAGTGGGGGGGACCCAGTGCCACAGCTGGGTGCAGTGGAGAGGACCCAGTGCAGCAAGGGGGGATGGCCTCAGGCCTGGGCTGGGGTACTCGTAGGGCACTGGGTCCCTCACCTGCTACCCTCACCTGTGCCAGCTTTCTCAGCTCCCTCTCCAGTACAGCTAGACTGTTCTCTGCACCTTTCCCTGTCTCTGCCAGGACCCCTTGGCCAAAGGCTCCCTCAGTCAGATTGTCTGGCTCCTCCTTCCTTGCAAGCCCTGGTGTGGGGAGGAGCACAAACAGCTTAAAGATGTTTTCCAGCCTCAACAATTCTTGTATCCGGTGCCTTCCTGTGACAGTGGGGTGCAACAGCTCTGCCAGGCTGCAGCAGTTGGGACCAAGGGTGTGGTGACCCTGTGTAACACCCCAGAACACTGAAATGGAAGGCGCTAGACTGAGATTCCTTCACGCTGGCTTGGCACACAGGAGAAATACCGAGCAGATATTCTCAAGAGGTCAAAATTACACAGAACTTTGGTGGCAAAAGATACAAAATCAAGGGATTTGATCGACCTTTCTGGTCTCTGACGCCGTGCCTGGGTCAGGAGGAGAGCTGATGGTGTTGGGGAGGGGGTCGTGGAGCAGAGCAGGAATTGTCCAGCGGGATCTGTCGGCTGCACACGCTGGGAATGATGGGGCTGGCGAAGGAGGGGGACAGGGCTGGGGTGCCCGGTGCGGGGAGCTGGGTTCGGGATGGAGGGGCAGCTGGGCAGGTCTGAGAAGACCAATTTTGCTCTTAGTTTCCCTTCCTGCTCTTCTTCCCCCTCCCTCCCCAGAGCAGCTGTGTTTGCCCTATCGCTGGCAGTGCCCAAGGGCAGGTTGGACGGGACTTGGAGCACCCTGGGGTAGTGAAAGGTTCTCCCTGGCCATGGCAGGGGGTGGCACTGGATGGTCTTTAGGGTGTCTTGCCACACGGAATCCATGAGGATTTAGGGAGATAAGAATGGTACAGGGATACCTTTGAGCCCTCCAAGAGAGACGGAGAGAGACTTCTTAGCAGAGCTGGAGTGCCGGGACACGGGCAATCGCTGCACGCTGACCCAGGGCAAGGGCTAGACGCGTTTTTCGGCATCTTTTTTTCCCGCTTTTCCCGCTCCCCTCATGCGCGGGGCCCTCCCGGCCGCCAGGCGGCGCCATGGCGGCGGGGCGGGGCGCGGTGACGTCACGGCCACGCCGGGTGGGCCGATGCGGCGGCGGCGGCGGCACCGGGAACAGCGGGAACGGCACCGGGAACAGCGGCACCGAGAGCGCCGGTAGCACTGCGAAGGGCGACAGCGGGAACAGCGGGGGCGGCACCATGGAGTACGTGAGCCCCGAGCAGCTCGCCGGCTTCAGCAAGTACAAGGTAGCGGCGCTGACGGGGGCCGGGCTCGGGGCCTGGCGCCGTGAGGGGGGCGCTGAGGGGCGGCCGCGCCTGGGAGCGGCGGCTGGGGGAGGTTGGGGTGCTTGGAGGAGGGGAGGCTCCATCGGGGCCTGGGCTGGGATCTTCGGAGGTGCTGTAGGGAGACCCTACAGGGGTGTGGGGAGGGGATGTGGAGGGAGTGCCGTGGTTTGGAGCGGAGGGAGCGGCCGCAGTGAATGCCGATATTTAAAGGGAGCGAGGGGGAAGGGTAGGGCGGTCCGAGGTTTGTGAGGGTCTGCAGTGAGATGCGGGGGTTGGGGGTAAGGGGGGTTTGCAGCTATGTGTGGGGTTTTGGGGGACTGCAGTGAGAGCCGAAACCCGGGTTTGGAAGGGGTGGGAGGTGCAGTGAGCGCCAGGGTTGGGTGGGTTTGCAGGGACGCACTGGGGTTTGGGGACGGGCTTTGGGGCTGCAGTGAGACCTGGGATGGGGGAGCTGCAGGGGAGCCTGGGCTTTGGGGACGGGACGTGGCAGGGAAACCTGGGTTTTGGGGCGAGGCTTCAGAGAGACGTTGGGGTTTCAGAGTAGCAGGAGCTCTGCAGTAAGAGCCCGGTTTGGGGGTGGTTGCAGGGAAACGCAGGGTTTGGTGGAATGGGTACAGTGAGACCGAGGTTTTGTGGCAGAGGAATTGCGGTGAGTGGGAGCTGGTGTTAGGGAGGCTGTGGATGTAGCGAGGATGAGTGTGGTGAAGGTGGGACTGTGTGCAGGACAGGACTCTCCTTGCTGCGATGATCAGGGTGTGACAAGGAGCTTCTCCTCCTCCTGGGCTGGGGCCCAGGGAGGCGGTGGTGACCTGTCCCCACACACAGCGAGCTCTGGGGCTGTCCCCACCATGAAGGGTTCGCAGAGGGGACTGTGGGTTTCCCGGGAGCAGGGCCGGCCCAGGAACTGCCCCCATGGAGCTCAGGACTGCCACACTCCTGCCCTGTGGCTGCTCCGTGCAGTCACAGCCATGGAACCCCTGTCGTTCCCGTCTGCTGGTGCCAAGCTGTGTCTTGTTCAAAGTGCTGGGAACCTTGGAAGGAAGCGCTGGAAGTGCCAGCAGGCTCTGCCATGGCATTTAAATCCCCAGGGGCTGATTTTGGGCCAAAGTAGGGGACATCCTTAACACGGGGCAACACTGGATCCTGTGTTTATGTGGAGAGGAGGATGTTTTCCATATTTGTTTCTTCTCCCACACCAGCAGTGATTTAAAAGGCTTCACCTCACCTTCGTTGCTTTGTTCTTGTTGTGGGACCCATCATGTGGGCCCATGTTCCAGTTGTCCCCCCAGGGTGGCTCGTGGGGTGTCACTTAAGAGTGAGGGACAATCGGGACAAGTCTGTGGCCTTCAGGGAGCAAATCTCCTCCTGGAGCTGTCTGTGGGGGCTGGGGCAGCCAGGGCTTGCTCACACTCCTCTTGCACCCTGGTGAGGTGGAGGGAAATGGACTTGGGAGAGCGACTTGGAACGATGTGTCTGGGTGCATGAGATTCCCTGTGGGAGGCTGGCTGTGTGGGGATTTATCAGGAAAGTATCCGCGTGTTTAGAAAGGCAATGAACGATTGTGGGTTTGTGTGGGTGCTGGAGAAAGGTAATCAAAACACTCAGCTGTGAGCCAGGCCTCCCAAAGGGACTGGTTTGGCTCCTGCAAAGACAATTCTTTTGCTCCAAGAGGGAGGCTGTTGGATGTTCAGCCTGTTTCCTGTTGTGCTGGAGTGATTGTTGCCATCCCTCTCAGCATGTGTGCAGGGACAGGGGGGTCTCCAACTTCAGCCCTTCTGGACTGTGTGGCAGGGACCAAAACTGCTCCCAGTTTTTTTCCTGAAGACACCTCTGACAGAAATGCTGCTGCAGTTAGATCTGGGAGCAGAGCCCTGAAAGGTGTGTGGGGTGAGGGGGAAGGTCCCACGCAGCACAGGAAGCATCAGCCGCTCGCTGTCCCCAGTTAGGCACTGGTGGGATGCTCCCTGGCCTAGCTTTGGGTACACAGGGCTGGAATGTGGGAGCAGGGCTGTGATGGAGCTGTATCCTGAGGACTGGAGGAGCTTTACCTCAGAGCCTGTGGTTTTTCCAAGTCAAGTGACTTTGACAGGAGTGGGTGGGTCCACTTAGTGTTCCAAGAGCACCGTCTGTGCCCCGCTCGTGTCTCTACCCTGCTGCCTTCCTTGTTTTCTTCATGTCTTGTTTCCTAGGGGAGCTTTGTTCTTGGCTATTTTAGCCTTGGGAAAGTGGCTGATTGAGCAGAAATCTCGGCAGTGATTCCACGTATTCCAGCCTTGATTCAGGCATCAAGGCTTGGCGTGCTCTGCCCTTTGCATCTTCCAAAGCTGGGTTACCTTGTCAGACTCAAAAATGCGGCTGGAAGGGACCTTAGGGCTCATCCAGTGCCACCCCGTGCCACGGACAGGGACACCTTCCACTATCCCAGGTGTCTGCAAGTCCCATCCAGCCTGGACTGGAACAGTTCCTGGGATGGGACAGCCGCAGCTGCTCTGGGCAATCTGTGCCAGGGCCTGGCTGTGCCTCAGCCTTTGAGCTGTGCCTGGCAGAAGCTCTCTGGCCACACACCATCGATTTGGAGGAGAGCAAGTGGATTTGGGGGGATGTGGAGGAGACAATGTGCCCCAGGGAAGGAGCCTGTCCTTGGAGAAGAGCTGGTGTTCTGTAGCTGACAGAGCAGGAGCAGAGGAGCTTCATGCAGGATGATCCAGAGCCTTCTCCAGCCGTGGCTGGGTCACTCCTGCCACGGAGCCAGGAGTCCAGATGGTTTCAGTTTGCAGCGTGCACGTTCCTGCTGGCTGGGGGTGAGGCAGGAGTGTGCTCCTGCTGTCCCAGGCTGGCAGGGGCAGATAGGGAAGGGTCCTCTGGCAGCTCTTGACACTGAGAAGCTCCTGAGCCTGAGGAAAGAGTGCAGCACAACGTGTAGTGGGTGTCAGGGTTTCATGGTGCTGGAGATGTTTTCCTGGGGGTGCTGTGCCAGCAG